AAGGTTCTTTAATTTGCTGAATTTGTTCTACTTACATCTCCTTCATGTGACTTCCACCTGAAGCAGAGATGTACTTCATGATTTTTATTGCAGGCAGATGGTAAGATTTGTGTGGAGATCCTAGAAAATTTTTATTAGACTATTAATTATTGAATTATTAGTATAGAGTTATGCTAATATTTTGTTATTTCTCCAGCAGTTGCCCTTCTGGAGAGAAACATGACTTGTATTTGTGACTTTCTTGTTTTCTTAATTAACTCATTGTGGTAGGTAACAACAAGGGGAAGACAGTGTTCAAATGCTCTTTCAAAAGCAGTAGAGTAATTCTACCAGGCTTAGAAAAAATGCAGTGTCATTTCACTGCAGGCCCACCAACGTACTGTGACCATAGCTTAATGTGCACTGTCCTAACCTGGACTGTCAAGTGTTAGTTGTAGATGGTTTCTTCTAATGTGGTAGGAGAAAAATTTTATGAGTACAGCCAGCACTGGTTCTCACAGCTAGAGACTAGAAAAGCTGTGAATATTAAGTACAAAGACTGACTATCTTTTACTTAATTCTCTATTTTAGTTGTGAATGATGTAGGCCTCTGAAGATCAGCCAGGTCCTCCAGAGTATTATAAACCCTGTCTGTCAGCTTCTATATAATACAATTATAATACAATATATGTATACAATACATTTTTGTTTTGGAGTCCTATAGAGACTCCTAAAAATTCAGAAATGCAAGGTCAAACCCTGAACGCTTTTAGGCAGACAAACGCGACTCATAAATTTGTGATTGTAAAAAGTTTTCTCTCTCTGTTACGTATTGGAACAATCTAAAGAATGACAGAACCCCAGTAGGATGAAAAAATGAAATATCAATATTTTAGCTTCTCTGCCTCCATATGGTATTATTATCCTTTTACTCATACACCCAACATTATGGCACCTAGTTTCTTGAAAAGGGAGAAGAAGCAATCAGCTTCCTAAGCACTAGTGCAAGGTAGGTCTGTGAGAAATGCATGTGCTAAAGGATGAGAGATATAATCATGGCTTGTTCCACCCATCCATGCTTGAGAAATTAATACCTCTCAATGCAGGTTTTTACTTTGGTAATGAGACATTCTTATGCTTGATCTTAAGTTCATTTTGGAAGTAGTACTCTTGTAATTTCTAATCCTCCTGTTTTATTAACTCTTGGGAAGCCACACTTTTGTGTATTGGGAGATAAGTGTAATCAGATTCCATCTCACTAAAGCACTGCTGTGTAAGCCACTGCACCTCCTGTTTAACTGAGAAACTGAACATGGAGAGGTTTTATGTTAACAAGGAAAGGATGAATATTTAAATTGGCCAGAATGGTATTATGGGTCTTCTGAGCCACTTAGTACATAGTTACTGGCATTGCCTCTTTGCCTGTGCTTATGTTGTCCTTATTTTCAGGCATCTGCAAGGACTGGGAAATGCTCTGGAGTTATGAATAATACACTTGTAGCAGAGTTGGGATGCTAAGTGTTTAAAACAAGCTCATCAGTGTATATATGTCATGAACAAACAAATGCTGTGTTTCTACCCACATTTCTAGTCAACTCTGAATTTTTGGAAAAAACAGTTTCTGAGGCCTAACTTACCTGTGGCAGAGCCTTTTCCCACTGGAGGAATAGAGAGCAGTTCTTTTGGTAACAACTCTGTTATTGTGTGATTCAGTGGACCCTTGTAATGACTGCCTAGAAGGAGTTTTCCAAGCACCCACTTCCAATAACGTTCAATTGACTAGAGAAACTGCTCCTCATTGGAAAACGAAAATTGAAAAGAACTGAAGTTATTCTGTTGCAATGATTATGCTCTTGGTCTACTGTGAGCAAGGAGCTCCCCAAGTCACATCTGCTGATGAGCAGAATTTACACATAAAGTGAAAGAACTGTGAGGATGTGGTAGTGTATTTTGCCTTTTAGACTCTGTTTTAAAAGTCTGCCCTGAAACCTAATAAAATTTATGTTTTATAGGGCTCTGAAGAACAGTAGTGCAGATTGGCAGATGTTTCGATCTGATGGGAACTGAAATTCTATTCTTAAACCATTAATACTAAATAGACCTAAATTTCCTGCACTTCAGCTGTATTGCAAGAGAATTGATTGTGATAGCTGAGACAGAAAAGAAAAAAATTCTATGATGGTAGCTGTGGAAGATTTTACTTCAGTTTTAGAGAAATGTAAGAAATATTTTTAAAACAAAGCTTTTATCCTATGCTTATGGTGGAGGCAAAAGAAAAATGCCCGTGCCTTAAGGAGCACATATGAAATCATCAGCAGCAGGAGCATTCTTAGTGCTTAGCTACTTGGTTAATCTAAGAACTTGCCTACAGTAACAGAGTTAAACATTTCTTGCTGTGAGTTTTCACATTCTTTTGAAGATAGAGTTGCTTGGATTCTGATCGAATTGAATCCATGACAAAAGAACTGGGACTATGAGAAAAATTGGTAGACTTTTCCTACAAGGGTTTCTATCTAGGTGTGGTGAATTGTTGCCAGAGCACACTTATGGAGATGTATCTGTTGGATTTGTGTCTTTTATGTCGTGTCTTTCCTAGAAGCCAGGAAGATGCTGCTGCTACTGACTGTTAGTCAGGATCAGAGTGACAGCCTCTTGCAGAAGCACTTTGGCTTAGTTAGTGGATCAAGAAACCATCTTTCTTGTCTGTGTTCTTGGCAGTTTTCTAGGTATGTTTTTCAAATATCTTTATTTTCCTCTATGATAGTTAGCAGATGAGCTCTGAAAAAAAAAAAATTGCTGTGCTTCCTCTAGAGATCAGGATGTCTTGAACATTTGTGTTTTGGTTATTTATCAGGGTATAATCAAGAGACAGATATGAGGATTCTCTCTAGAAATGGATGAGGCGAAGATACCTGCAGATTTTGGGTAATAGGGAAAAGTTGCTGGTGAGTTGGGAATATTTTTATAAGATATATTTTTCTAAAATCTATTTTTGCATGTTTTATTTGAAGACAGTGATTTTAAAGTTGTTAAAATGTGTAATTCTTAAGTTCAACACTTAAGCTTGTATTTTCTTTAAGCACACGAATAACCCGAATAAAGTGCACAGAGCTAATCTTATGCTGAAGTATTTTAGCTGAATTGTGTCCCTAGAAAATTTGACACATGCAAAGAAAACCATATCTAAATATATGAGCATTGTTCCCAGGTTTGGTAGAAATATTTCTACTTTCTATATGTACTTCTTTTTATAAGTTTCCCTTGAATGCAGTTTGAATATAATTCTGCTGTTCAGCAAACCAGATGCAAGAAACATGCCATAAATATATTGCTCTTCTCTCCCTCCTTCCCTCCCTCCCCCGAAGTTGCATTTGGCAAGTGGATCATGCTATATATTGATGTTACTTTTTTATAAAGAATTTATAATATTTTGGACAGTAATAACATGCCTTTGTGCACTTTTCCATAAGCACAGAGAAAGTGCAAGACCACTTACTCTTCTACTCCAATCCAATACAATATTGATCATTATTCTCAAGAAACTCTATTATCATTCTGGAAACAGGATTAAACCACTCTGGTCTGTAAGAGTTATTAGTTTAGGAAGAATCAGCCCACAGGAGTAGATCTCAAATTTTTAGTTTTGGTGACTGGAGTGTATGAGCTCTCAAGAAGGTGCATGGGCTATATATCCTGAGGGAGGTGAGTTTGTGAGGTTACTCAAGGGTCACCAAACTGTAATAAGGAGTAGGTGATAGGCATAGTCGGTGCAGAGTTATTACTCTTTCTGTCCAATAGGAAACCCTGTATGGTTCCAGGATATGCCCCTTCTATTCCCTGTGGAGAGCAGGAAGCCATAGCTGGGTCTGCATAGCCCAGCTCTCTGCTGTAAGAGTTGAGTAGCTGGGGTCATGCAGAGCAGTATCTGCTAAAATTTCCATGGGGGGATTTGCAACTGGGCTCCCAGGAGTCTTTCAGATTGCACTCCCTTTAGGGACACGGATCAGAAACGGAGACTCGCTGTTTTCCTTAGGGTTGTAGGTAGTGAGAATTGCACGGCAGAGCAGCTTTCTTGTAAATGGTTGTATGTGGAACTCCAGGTAACAGTGTTAAATTTAGCTATTTTCGTCAAGATCCCAAGTGAGGCTGGAAAGACTCGAGGCCATTGTGTCATTTCAGGAATTCTCACTAATGTGATCAATCACTGATGTGATTGCTCTAACTTGACCAGTAGATTTACAAGTACAATTTGGCTTAAATACCTGCTGTGTACCCTTTGTTTACTTGTGTACCCTTTGTTTACTTGTTTACTCTTTTTTTGCTTGTGTACCTTTGCCGTTTCACTTTGCTCTGGGCATACACAACAAGTTCTGTTGGACCACGATCAAATTTAAATGTGTCAGAGTCATGTTTTAGAAGCTTAATTATAATACAGTACTTGTGAAATGGTGCTTAAATAGAAATAATTAGTTTTGTTTTGTTGTGATTTTTGAGTCGTTAGTGGTCTTGTCAGACTTTTCAACCTTAGTATCTCCTGGAATAAGGAAGGACAGAGTTTTCAAAAGACGCTGGGTTTTTTTTATTGGTTAAAAAAACGTTATTGGTCATCTTCATTTACTATATGAGTCATGGAATCTAGACACAGGAAAGACTTATTACTTTATGTCGTCCATTGCCTTCCACAGCAAAACGGTTTTCTGCCATAAACCTTTCCAGTGCTTTGGGCAATTTAATTTTAAATATCTCTGCAAATAAACAGCATTTTCACTGCTTCTCTAGGTAAGTTACCTTTTTTTTCCCCCAAGCGATTTCATTATATTTTACTTTATTTTTAGCATACATATGTAGATAGCTAGATGGATAAAGATATCTGTTAAAAGACAGAAATTTGTTATCTGAGATTTTCTGGGTTAGATAGAGGGGAAAAAAAGTTCTTTCCAGTCCAATGCTGTAGATACCCAATGCCTCAGCAAATATTAAGGTTTTACAATTACGTTTTCATATCTATTTAGTTGTAGTAAGGATCCCCTGAAGAGCAAGAGAGAATATACTATTGAAAAGAATTCTTTCAAATACATACTGACTTAAGAAAAGGTCTCCTATTACCATGACTACTCATCACAGCCATTTTGCATACTGCTAATTGCAATGTCAGGTAAGCAAAATGAGATTTATAAATTATATCTCTGTATTTTAAATTCATGAATAACTCTTTGCTACTGTCCTTAATAATTCTTGTTGTCAGGCACTGCAGATCTTTGTAGGCATTCCATCTAAACTAACATTGTTTTTGTTGAAACAAATTGCACCAGTCTTCTTCTTTTAATCTCTCTAAAAGATTAAAGATCAAGTAAAGAAAAACATTATAGAGGCACAAAAAGCTAGCATTCACTTTCATTTTGTTTCACCTTTAATCAAACTGTAACTGCTCCTGCTGTGTTTTCGTAGGACATCTATTTATCCAGAAATGTAATGATTTGTGACCTCTTTGGGACAACTTATGTGATAACAATGACTTAGTGTGTTAGGCTGTACAAGGGGATGATTAAAAGGAATTTCAGCACAGAAAACAGGTCAGTTTAAGAAAATAAGCCTAAAAATATAGCTTGCTAAAACAGTTAATATCAAAATAAAGATAGCATCCTCTAATTAAAATTTATATTTATCTTTAATATTTGAAGTTTTAAAATAATATTTTTATTCTTTTTCTGAATAGCTAGGATCCAAATAGATAAAAGTCTTCCAATGTTTTTATTCCTGGTAATAGAATCATTTATGGTTAAAATTTGGCAGGCCTACTTTCCTTTATAAATGGTATCTTAATGAAATCACGATAGACTACATAGCTGTAGATCAGTTCATGATCAAAAAAAGAATTTGAAACTCCTATTGCCTTCGTCTCTTAATTTCATACAACAAACTTCTGGTGTTTTCCCTCAAAAATGATGAAGTTCCTAAGAGGTGGATCTGCTGCCCTCTCTTCCCAAAAATATTGTTGGAACTTAGGTGCATGCTAAAATGTTTGAAATACTTAATGAATTTTAAATAAGTTGTATTTGACTTTTGTATACTTTCTTTTCCAAGGATTTTAGCTTTATCCATAGGATACCTATAGAGATATTTTGCTCAAAATAAAACCAAAAATGAGGTAGAAATGAATCCATAAGGAAATAATGCTCCCATCTGAGGAGTCCGTTGCTAGCTTTGGTTGGCAGAATTGCTGAGCAAAGTAAGCAAATGAGCAAGGTTGTTGCCCAGGAAGCCAAAGATAGAAATCTTCAGAATTTCTGCATTCCTGTGAGGAATCTTTGGAGTGGGATCAGTTTCTTGTGAGAAATCTTCACACCAAAGCTTCAGATAGAACTGAGGAAACATAATGTACTTAATTGATTAGGAATTCACTGGATAGCCAGCAGTGGTGAGACCTCTAACCACCATGACTAAATGTGATTAGATGCTAAAAAATTACTAAATTTTCATTAATCAGACTTTATGTCCAAATACAATTTCCAGAAAGTAAAATCTTATTTCCTTTACAAATTTATCTTTGTCTCTTTACTGCTCTTATCCTGAGAAATTTTTAATTTTCAAAGCTGATGAATATCTGCAGTCATCTCTCATATCATACGTCTACACTCCAGTCTAGCAATGTAGCTATAGCTCCTCAGGATGCACCTGAGCTGGCTTTAAAACTGCTCCTGTGGGCACAGTGTAGCCAGACGGGGACCTGGAATTTCATTTAGGCTGTTTGATGTATTTAGGCTTTAACAGTCTGTACTGAGACCCATCCTGCCTCGGGATGGACTTTTGTCAGTCACTAAATAGGTTAGTTAAGTCAGCTTGGATATGTACATCCAAGCTACCCTGTCTAGTGTCGAACCAGCATATTCTTTATTCCACTGGAAGTTGCATAGGGTAAAGAAAGGTCAATGTGTTCAGACTCCTGTGGAGGGAATAAAGGGATTTGCAACATCTAAGTGGCCTGCAGTAGCTTCAAACTGAAAAAAATACAATGCAGGAGTTAGATCATTGCCTTGAGTGTTTGTAATATTTGATTTCTCTCCCCAGTAGATGTATAAATGACCAAACTCTGACAAGAGTAATGGATTTGAACAAATCAACCTTAACAGAGAATATTACAGTCTAAAGTATTCAGCCAAATCCCCATGTCATTTAGCATAAAAGCAGTCAAGCAAACCAGTACCAATTTCTTGTATCACTCCCACCCTCCTTAGATTACTTGTCTGAGATTTATTTTATGTAAATAATACTATAAAATGGAAATCATAATGTTAAATGGAAATTATAGTATTAAAATATATATGTTTTTATTACCAGTGATAGAAATATATTTATTTAAAACAGGATGTAAAAATATTGCAGTGTGTTGCCCTTTGTTCAATACCATATTTTACTCTTTTCTTCTTAGTAGTAGTAATGATAATAATACTTAGCACTTATAGTACCCCATGTATTGAAAAGACCTTTTCTGCTAACAACTCAGTATCTTGTGTAGACTAGTTAGATATTGTATCTCCATTTTAGAAATAATCTGAGACAGAAGATCTTTACCAACTAGCCTTTGAAAAGTGTTCCTAATTGTCTCTCACTGAATTCTTGTATGTATAACTCTAATTTCCAAAGGTTCCTGGTTTCTTCTGTTACCTTCAACAGGGGAATAAACTCTTACTCCAAAAAGAGGAACCAAGGACGATAATTGACAGTGTGTCTGCAGTTGAGTAAGATGCTGTTTCCTCTTGTGTGCACTTTCCTTCAGTCTCCGTGGGTTCCTTACCATACCCAGCATATGCTCCACCCCTCTTGCAGCCACAGACCCACTGCTGCAGAGCTCAGCAGGCAAACCTCAGTCTCTGGAGACTCAGTTACATGACTTTTCCTTCTCACTTTCTGTCCATCAATCATCTCAGTATTCCTGCATGTTATCTGCTGATTTATCCATGCATTCCCTGTAGTTGTAGTCCCTTCCTACCATTCTTCTGTTCTTACATTCCTATGCTTGCTTGCAAATGGTTGAAGAATCTTAGTGGCATAATTGCCATGGGTTTACCCATCCAAAATAATGTTAAAATTAAGAACAGTGTTCCAACATATGTTACACCCCACACTTGCTACCACCATCTTTTGTATGCAGGAGTTCACATTTGGTTCTGCTTTCCTTCCCTCCTACACTTACGTTTCCTATACACACACACATCTGTTTTCTGTTCTCCAATCAATAACAAAATGTAGCTACTTAAATAAAACTATTGGTATATTTGAGGGTCTGTAGATGTAACATTCAGAATGAAAATATAATGTATTTTATCTGTCTATGGTAAATCTTGTAAAAGAACCTGCCATAAGAGTATTTCTAGTCCAGGAAAAGAGCAGAAGACATGAAAGGCTGTTCTGTGGGACTTCTTGGTCTCTCTACTTGTATTATTTTACAGTGTAGGGCTGATGACTTTAATATGTTGTATTTAATATGCATTAAAAGTTTCTTGTATTTTTAGGATTTTTGCGCATTCTGCTTATGTATCAATGTATTATGTAGGATAGCATATGAGGATTTTTATCACTGAGGTTTTATCAAAACTGGACAGAAAATAAAATTGGATAATCCTCTTTTTTCATTTGGAGGGATTTCTTTTTTTAAGTAGTTCACCTCTTCCAGTGTTGGTTTAAGCAAAAAAACTCTGATCTGAAATGGGCTTTTGCACAAAGGTCTAATTTAAATATAGATAGAAGAGGACAACATTTTTTCCTTTACTGCATTTTGTGCATTCCAGCAAAGTCTGCCAGTACATGTTGATGATTATTTACAAATAAGTTTCTGTTTCTCTACCCTCAAAATATTTTCCATCTTGAGAACATAGTCTTCCAGTAACAATTTTATGGTTAAACAATGGTAAAAGAATTTTTTATTAAAAACTTTTAATGCTGACTTTCATAAAGGGAAACTTTTATCTTTTAAATTTTGAAGTGTGATGTGTAGTCAAAAAAGGGACTTTTTTGGACTTGGGACTTGGAAGGGACTCAAGTTTAGCTGCACAAGCTGTTTTTTGAGAGGGTGGAAACTGAAAAGAAATTGCTTTAATTTTTACAGCAAGAAAACCTTTGCTTTTGATAAACGATTGAGAAATGTCTTGTCAGGAGACTCAATACTCTTGACTAGCGTGAGAAAGCATTGCAGTTATTATTAAGGAGCCAGGTCTTTCCCTATTGGATTGTGTTCAATGCAGTGGAGGTACTACAAATGCTTGAACATCAATTAAAAATAAATATTTCTTAAATCTTACAAGACCAAACACTTCTTTTTAACAGAACTGTACCCCTGGGAAGCAAGGGAAGTGCAAAGGGCAGAGAGCCTTGGTTTGTTTTCCTATGTCATACTTGGGTCTTTAAACCAGCAAAGAAACGAGATCTCTGAGCACATCCAATAGTTTGACACTGCTGAAAGGAGGATTTCAGGTGTTTTCAGGTTCTCTTATCCCTGCTTCCTTTTCCACTTTTCCTTACTTCTGCCCCAAGGTCCAACTTCTTTTTTATAGCCACTGTTACTTGTTCAACCACTCATGAGTGGATTCAGCTCGTTAAGTAAGCAGAAAACAGGGTGGTTTTTTGCTGAACTAAGCAGGCTTTTGCAATTTTACTTGTTATGTTTGTCATGGAAAAGTGAGTACAAACACATAGCAAACAAACAATCACAGTCCTGAAAAACATACTATTTCAGAAATCAGAAGGATTACTTGTGTGCTTAAGCCATTAGGAGTTCAAAACCCGAGAATGAAACAATTTATCTTTTCTGATGGAAAATAAAATCAGGATACTTTTATACCAGAACCACAGAATTTCTGCAGTCGCTGTCACCCCAGAGTAATTGAGAAACAAGGTTATTTTTTTTCATTTAAAGGTCTGCATGGATGCTAGGATTTCATTAACACTGACTAAGTCAAGGTAAAATTGGCTTCCTCTTCAGTTTTAAAATTGGCAAACTTTCCTCCCCTTAACCTCTCTGATTTTAGCCCCTTGTATTTTCCAGAAAGTTCAGAGATAAATTGTATTCTTTACCTTGTCTGGAAATGCAACTGGTTTCTCAATTTGTTGGTTTGTTCAGTGCTCTGAAATAAGCAAGTTATGTTTCATTTCTATTGA